CAGGTGTCATGCGATTGAAATGTCCTAATCCATATCGGCTCGTACTCAGACTCGCATTTCATGTAGTGTTACAGTTATGTCCTTCGCGATGCACTCCAGGATGTCATCGATCTCTTCCTCCAACAGATTGCGCTTATGATCACGCGCCTGCGTAGTATCCAGCTTATGAGCAAGAACGCGACGGATTCATGAGTAGGCAGTTTGATATTTTACATTTTTCACGGTTGCCACGAGCTGCCACTCGCCACTATCGATGAAGGCATCCAGAACTCGGTCACAAATGTCTAACGAGACACTCTGTCGAACACGAGAAGGCATGTTGTCCACGTTGGAATGAAAGACATCCATTCAGTCGTGCGCTTATATTCCGGCCATTCACTGATCTCAGGCAAATTGTGATCCTGCGTTTCGGACGTGAGGGGGGGCACAGCAGCTCGTGGCACCACCCATGCCCAGGGACTCGTGCCCAGGGACACATTCACAAGTCTCACCTAGCCAACTGGAAGCGCGCTCACTTCATGACTTGGGCATCAAAACCTAGCACCAGGCCAATGAGAACACTCTTAAGGTCAGAGGATTGGCTCTGAGCAGCTAGCGAATCACACAAGGTTTTGCAAAATTTTGCGCCTTCTTTACAAAATTTTGGACATTTTATGCAATTTTGCGGGAAATGCTATAGCTTCAAATTAGGCACTGATGTTGAATTCAGGCTAAGTCGCCCACACGTCAGCATCGCGCACCATCAAGTCATACATTGATGCAAGGGTTATTAGGTTTACCGTCGCTGACTACTTTGGGCTAGCTCAATACTAAGGTCACTGCATGCGCTTAGTGTGTAGAAATGTCACCGGACGTAATTCAGTTATACTAATGTGCACGTTTAATCGGCTTTAAGATACAACTCAAAACATTATGGAGCAATTCAAATACACGATGGATGCAATCAATCGGGAAAAGGTGTAGTGTTCGGGCAAGTGGTACATGTTGAATAATCCGTTGCAAACGCGCAGGTTGAATTCTGCCAGTCTTAACGAGGATCGAGGAATACAAAGAGAAACGGATTAATTGAACTTGTCCGCTTGGTTGAACTTGGACTCCTCGACTGGACTGGAGCGATACCCTGCGATTGCGGGTTGAAACTACAAGGCAAACGACTATTGGAACACGACGAATTATGGTCAAGAATTGGAGGGTTGGAAACAGGTGATAAAAGTGAAGTTGGAGCTGAAAGGTAAAGACGAAAATGCACGAGAGGGTGAATAAGGGGAAAAGAAGGCCTGAATAGTAGTATCCAGTCCAGTATCCACCTCGCTCGATGCAACAGATAGGGCGCCGCTGGCTATCCTCTGCGATGGCCAGAGCATGAAGAGATGACTGGAAGTAAAACTCAGTCTCGTGTTGCGTCGGCAGTATGCTGTCTGGTTGCCAAGCATTAGAAAGAAGAACAACTGGGGTTCTTAACCAAAGCTTTCGGTTCAAAAAGCTAACCAGAGGGTAACGGGTTTGGCAGTGCGATAAACAGAATCCCTTTTATCGAGCATTGGAACCACCCGCACTCCAACCTCCAACTTAGAGGACCAGAAGACTGGGTTTGTCCGGCATCTAATCACTGAACAATCTGGCACAAAAAGCACCACCCAGCATATCTTGATATATCGCCGAGGCACGCAAAGCATCACACTACAGCGAAGTACAAGAACCCCTGGTACAAGCGCTGAAAGTTTTGTCAGGAACTATCTGCGTAGCGGACAAAGTGCTACTTTTGAACTCCTCGATAAAACTGCACCATCGTCACCTGAATCTGTTTCTCCAACGATGCGCATAGAAGAATATCAAAATGAAAAGCGAGAAATTGGAAGTATACAAACCAGAAGTAGTATTTCATTGCCACGTTTTAAGCTGTCACTGAGTGAAGCCAAATTCGTAAAATGGCCATTAAAGGAATGTCACTACCAGCGGATTCTAAAGGCGTCAGCCGATTGTAATTAATAGTTAACTATTAAGCTATTTTCTACCACGACTGGCCGAATTTATGGCAACTATAAGTGAACTGGTGCATAAAGTTGAAGCATGGCACTGGGAAAGCGACCATAGAAAAGCTTTAAATCAAATAAAGAACTTGATCGAAGAGGCCCAATACTCGCCTTTTTGATCCTCCCGTAGTTCTCCACAAACAATGTGACAGTACTCCGCATGGGAATGAGGCGGCGCCAAGATAAATCGCAGTCGAATTCTGAACCCACATACACAAATTAAAGAGGAAATGCCAGCGATTACGAATGCAGTTCAACGTGTAAATGACTATATTTTCGGATGGAAGACCACCGGGCTTACGAACCACAAGTCTTTAGTGTTAACTGCCGAAAAAGCATACCATGTTGTGCCCCGCAGCCTTTAAAGAATGCTTATATGAATTCGTAAAAGCGATTTGGAAATCGCCTATCGCTCGAGACCCTCAGATTTGCATCGCGGATGCGCTATCGATAGCCTGTCGCCCTAATGCAGATGGAAAGTATGAGAATCTAGACAAGGTTCACGCTACACAGCTTCTCGCCATCGCAGGAGAAGGATTAAAACTGGTACGACGGTGCAGAAAAGAGGATTAAGTCCGGAAACGATTGGAGAGGGCAAATGTGAACGGATGGCTTGGGGATAAAAGGAATTTGCTGCTGGAGCAGACATTGTTTTTCCCTTTTCGTGACGAGCTCCCTTTGGAAGATGGCTCGGTTTTCAAAGGCAAGCAGGTGTTGATCCCAAAGTTAATGTTGGAACTGGTCCAGAGGACATATTTGCGAACTAACCACTGCGTCACACGTGTAAATGAATTGATGTTTGGGGCTGGGATGACTAGCCACCTTCGCGACTGTGTCGAGCTGCGCAACTTATCGGGAGTTTGATGCTCGCCAAACGAAGGAGCCAGTGGTGCTTCCAGAGAATCTAAAGAGACCATAGGAGTAGCGGCAGTGGACTTATTCATGTATGAGGAGAAAGAATACTTTATCACAGTATAGTATCACAGCGATTATTTGCAGACTGATGCGCTAACCACAAACAACGCTTAGACTGTGTTGAGCAAACTGCGCTGTCATTTTGCTTGGCATAAAGGCCTTCCGAAAAAGTCGCAGACTATGAGCCGCAGTTTACGGCGTAGGAATCCAGAACTTTTAGCAAAACATTGGAATTCGGGCATCGTTATATTAGTCCTTCTCACAGTTAGTCCAACGGCAAAGCGGAGACAGCGATAAACCAGGAACAATGAACAATGATTTATCACAGGTAAAAAGCAGGTACTTTGCAAGTCCCCTAGGGTGGTTGGAGTGAGAAAAAGTAGATCAAATGATAACTGAATCGTCGATCTTAGCGACTACATAGTTAACTACACTGCTATTTAACGGTAGTTTGAAATCAATAAACGGAGCGTAATACCTATTACGTGTGAAAAATAATTGGGCGAAATGACAAGGCCTACTTGCGTGCAGTTTTCTTGGGCCGACTGGCTGCGTAGATCCAGTTCCTACAGTAGTAGCGTTTAACGAATTATGTGCTGAATGTAAAAATGCGCATGTTGATTTGTAGTGCCAGGCTGAGGCCCGGATATAGCGGATTATGTGGATTAATGTAAATTTATTTGTACACCATCGAGACACTGTTTGCATACAGTTAGTGTGGGGAAAGAAACAACGTAAGCGGGGAGGGTGTTCTACGGATGCACATGCGAAGTGACCGGAAATTCAGCCGACAATCCAACCGGCTTTACTTTGTGGTTGGCTTTAGCTGGCGACCTCTCAGACTGGCACTGTGATTTCGACTTATAATTTGACTACAAGCATAGTTTGTAGTCCTTAGCGCCAAATCTGTTATTATCAAATTGCAACGCAAACGCCGATATTGTTCACTATATACCCCAAAAGTTTTCAACTACAGTTGGTAAGGGAGATGAAAAAGACCAACATTAAAAAAATTACATGAAGATCCTTATATCATGCTTCTCGAAGGAAGAAATAGTCCATTTCAGAGAATCTGGGAGAGCTCTGCCCACTGCCATGATTCTATACCAACCGGATGCGCCATCACAGGATATGATGCGCGGCCGTTTACAGAAGCGAATGCTCTGTCGAAAACGCGATTATGCTTGTGGATCAAATTACTTATCACAACTTCGGATTAGCGAGGATGTGTGGATACAAGTGGTTGCAGGAATTGAGGAACGATGCACGGGAGATTTTGTAAGAACACGCGCAGGAGCGAAAAGCTACGAAGCTATGGTAAGCAAAGTGTTATATCGATGAAACTGGATTCATTTGAAGCAACATTCACCAGGTAAAACGATGAACAGCGAGCGACAAGACCGACAGGATAGTACGGATCCTGAGGGAGAGGAAAGATAGAGGATGCGCACGACAACGTATACAGCGCCTCAATGACCGACGGATCAGAACGAAAAGAATAGAGGAGTATGACTAAAAGCGATACTTGAGATCCGCTCTACCAGCGCTGTGCAAACGAATGCTTAGAGTGTAAGAAAATGGATGGCTCATTGGGACACAGGGAAGCCGTTTGGCCAAACATCGTGCTTTGGCGTGGTAGAGGGGACAGTTTGTACGCCATGGTCAGGACTGCTTAACCATCGGGAGATGACCCGGCCAGAATTGTGCGGTCAGATACAGAGTCAAAGATGTGGACGCCAAATCCGCCGCTGCATCTCTCTGTAACGTACCCTAACACATAAACAAAGCTTTGATTTTAACGTACATAGTGTCTTGATCGCCGCACAGTCCGACTTCTATATTTCTAGAGCGCATCACAACATACACAGCTTTGCTAATCTGAGGCGAACGTCTAGAAATGTTAAAGGCTGTCAAGAAATTAAGTATTTTCCCATTATCATACTATTGTCTATTAGCACGAGAGTATATAACATTTTAGCCAAGCGTATCTGCTGTTGACCACTAATCTGGTGATCTGCCTTAGCTTACTTTTGCAACTCCTGTGTTCTGCAGATATGGAAATATTGGATCAAGACTTTGGTTTACTCAAAGTTGGTCAAGATCAAGCTTGCAGAGATAATGTACAGGTAGGTACCATGAAACTTAAAAGAAAAATCTCGATGACCCTGGAAGCATTAGATTTAAAAGTTGGAATATACCAACAAATTGAATAGTCATGCGGAATAAAACTTGTTTAAATTCCTGGAGGGAAAAACGTAGTTTTACCTCTGAAGTTTTATTATGTATGATCACCAGTGACCACTGGTGTCCACTGAAATTCGTGTGAGTGCATGAACATCAGGAAAAATAGAATGCTTTCCATATGTAAGTACTTTTAGAAGCACTGAGATCTTGACACTATTAAATGTATCTAGATAAAAACGGTTTTGACCAACTCTTACTCCTATGTTCGTTTGTCTCCGGTGCGACGTTTGCTGTCGGGGAAAGTTTACTTAATTTAACTGGTCGTATAAGGTAACCACAAATATCTGCATGAATAATACATCCGAATAAAACGCAATATTTTTGTTGTAGTCTACTGCGCTTCCGTATGTGGAAAATTTTACAGCTAGCACATCACGTCTGACTTCAGCAGCTGATAGTGAATAAGTTTAGCCAACAATAACATAGTGTTTCCACAAGAAGCGCGATAAATTACTATAACGTACTTGGCGCCAATTACGTAACTATTTTACAATATGTTTACTAGTACACATTGTTTACTTTCTTATAGCATACAACAAACTTAGTAACTGGCAAAAGAACGTACTTAGTTAAAGGGCGTATAGTGGACCAAAGCGGGAACACAGGCGACACAATATTTTAATCTACAAAGGATTTTTCATTAAGTACCGTTCTTCCTTTCAAGACAATTGCAAACTAAACAGTCATTTACATCGTTTATGATCATGGAAACGGAAGAATTGTTACTCGCGAGCTACTGTCACATTTATAAGACTTACCTGCTGAATGTCCCAAGTAAGGCATTCATAGTGTTTCACTACCCTTGAGTGTCTATCAGTAATATCCGAGTAAACTTTGCTAACACCAACAGCGAACATTTTACCAAATGCTTCAAGACTAAGTTCATGATCTAATTAGCTGATAACAAATGAATCACCACCGAATATTTTTTAGTTGTGCACGCGTTAGCAGAGAACCTCACCACCGAGGTTTAACGGCATTACATCGCAAATTAAATTGACGTTTGAGTAAACTCAACGCTGAGACGGATGCGTTCAAATGAACAAGGAGATTAATCACTTTTTATCACGACACAGCGAGTTTGAAAAACAAAAGTTTTTCCGCCCAGACCTCATTGCTGGGAACAACGAGGAATGGTTTGCTAGTGCTGAATTTCTGGAAATTGACTCACGATCTAATAAGTAAAATGTCATCTGATTTCTATTTCTGCTTCATAAACTTCTCGCAGGGAGCGCACGTTAGCTTGGCTCAGTGAACTTCGCGTTCACATAAAACTGAATTTAGCAGCATCCGTAAGTTTGATGTAGATTTCTACAAGTTTGATGGGTTTGAGCGAGATCAGTGGCTTCCAACGGAATCTGCAATTCCGGTCTTCAATGCATCCCTGTTTTGTAACCAACACGGCTATAATAGATGCAGCTCCACAGGGTTTACCAAAATAGCATATGCCAACTCGAAAATATTTTCTAATAATTATGTTGACTGCTGTAGTATCCACTTATCGGTTGTTGATTCAAACCAATGCAAAAGGCAACACGGTTGCTTAAACACATGAACAAGCCAGTTCCCTTGTAAATTCCGATAACACATGTATTAATATTTCAAAAGCAACTGCTGGTGCTAATCCTCCAAATTAAATGTCTTAACTAGTACCGTTTTCATCTGTTCCTTGTTCAAAAGCACAAAGATATTAGAACTCCTGCTGAAGTTCAGTCATATATTAGTGTCGGGTGACTCATATTGTTACGGCATACGTAGCGTGAACTCAGCAGGTCTCGATTCCATTGGTTCGCCACCGTGCAATCGAATTCCCCTTGCTCTGGTTCTAAACCCCTATTCACTCCAGCAATTCTCACCCTCCACGCAATTAATTACACTCATTCGATCCACCCTAACCATCGCTGTTTAGTGCATTCCATCTTTTAGATAAAACCAATGCGGATCATCTGTCAGTTCCATCTCACATATGTCGCAACCACTCCGCAGATCAACTACGCGAAAACTTTTGGAAACTTGAGCCATATAAACTAATTTATAGTATCAAACAATAACCAAATCGGAAACCTGTGTAAAGACATAAGCCAAGACTGTCAAACGTAAAACAAATAGGCCATCTGACCGTTTGTGTCTTCACTGCTCGAATGATTCGTGTACGCGGTAGGGCGACTGTTACACTCAACCGAAATCAGAACAACAGCATTGCAATTGGAAGTTTGTTAGAAGCAATGGCAATAGTACATCGGCAGTCCACAATGGGTACAAGATCAACTGTTTACTTTTACGCAGTTCACATGTTTTAACTAAGCACTCGCTTTTGAACCAATCAAGAAGCATCGCTGGTTAGTCGGGAGATGGCCACTCACGCACTAGCGCGCACAATGCAGCTCCACAGGCTAGGTAGTTTAGCATGACCTTGACTCGCTCAACATCTGTATCAGCGACGTTTAATGAACGCTACAGTCGCATAACCTGCCTCGTAAAGCTATGTGAAATATCGCGACGTGCTACGCACGTACTGACACCATATCCTATCAATTTACTTTCAGTATTCAGACAGCCAACCACGCGCGCTGACATAGAATTGTAGTTACTTGCTCGTCCATTGACCTGAAAGGCCACAAGAGCTAAAAACAAATTAGAAAAATGGACTGTAACGACTGATCGTGCGTTTAAAGCTGCATAAATGACGGGCGTCTGTGGTCAGATTTTTTGCTAGCAAAATAAACGAATATGAATATAATGTTCCACTGATTTAATTACTTTCAACCTATGTGATAACCTCATCTTAAATGAGGTGAAGATGTACAATATTCTACCCGAGTCTCTATGGTTTAGTGCTGTATGTCTAAGCATCTAGCCGGTGAAGATTTATTTGAGGTATCTGAGTAATAACAAATACGATTAGCAGCGATAGAGCCAATGAGGGACCTCAAAAAGCCCCAGACCTCTCCAATAGTCTAAGCATCAGTTTAGACAAAGGAAACTTGGGAGTCCGTCTAAAAATATTCAAAAGAATCGGGAAGTAGTAGCCAGTGTAGTAATACTACCACTTATGGAAACACACCGGAACCAACCACATCCTCCGTGACAACTATAATTACGACCAAGACCAAGACCATTTTACACCAAGACCAAGACGTTGTGCACCATCCTAACCCTACCGAAGTCTCAGCAAGATGTTGACATCGGTTTTGGCTGGAGAGTGATTGTTCCCAATGGCACTCGGAAGTCTAGGTCGTCAGTTACTCCAAGTGGATCTGATATAAATAACGGAGGCGAACCTACATTTGCACAAACCCACCCCACCCTTGATTTTCGCAGATAACTGGGGCAGTCGCTCTCAAAATATACTGCAGAGACAGTCATAAAGTGACTACATAGGGTACCGTCAGTGACCTTCACGACTGTTCCTGGATCAACGTCAAACTCCTTAAAAAGAAAACAACTTGATGACATAAGTCAGTAAAACTTCATATGTAACATCCTAGGTGTTGTGGTTAAATCCACCAACATGATGCGGATCCTCTGTCACTTGCACTCAAAGAACTACGGTGAACGGCTATTTGACCTAGTTTCGCCAGCTTCTATTGATACGGTGGAAACAATATTACTATCAACAGCTCATCCTAGAGTAGGTCTTGTTCAGCCTGCATCGGCCCGAATATACCGTGGATGAAGTAAACAGGCGAAGCAATAATTGGGAGAAAGTAAGACTAATTTCGAAGCCAGAACCAAACATTTTTACAATGTCTTGGGAGCTGGTGGATCCGATGAGAGCGAAAAGTCTGGCCATAGACAGCAGCATTGGTGCTAGATTCGCGAGAGAGCGTTCATGGAATACGTCGCTGCTCATTCGATCTAGCGGCTATGTTTCTCGTCATGTTACAGATGATGTGGTCCGAGTATTGTGAATATGGTGCTATAAACCAGATAGATGTTCACTGCGGTATTAGAATGCTAATCGCAGCAGACCACTTCGTGAGCTCCGGCTCATACCGGTGCCCACCACGCAAATACATGAAGTGTGAGATTTAACTGAACGTCATCCTAGCAACGATTTCGATAACATTAGTTTATCTAGTTGATGAAACTGGTGGTCACAACTTAAAAAATAATAACATGCAGAAAGGGACGGAGTCAGTGGATGTGACACTAATTAGTTCGTCACCACTTAACCCATAAAACAAATAGTGGCAGCTCTTTTACCGGTCGGCACTACTTCATACAGAGGATACACACTTCCAACACACTAATGAGGCCGGAACAACTTCCCAGCTTGTATACCAACACACAAGGCCTCCCGAACAATTTTGTTGACCTGCGGCTACAGCAATTATCCGATCCTTAAGACCTCATATTCTTAACCAAAACGTATTTGCACTCATAAATTATTGACTCCTATGTCGCGATACACATCCTTTTACGAAACTTCCAGCGTTGTGGTGGTGTACTTCTGTGCTACCGCAGGTGCTTGCAGTGTAATCTGATGTACAGTCTTGAAACATTTATCATAGTCTTTATCTGGTGCCATCTGCGATTAAGGCTTAACAACATCTGTTATTTGGTAATGGTTCATGGTCCGCCAATGTCTATTACAGAGGTGAACAGTCTGATACTAGCCTTTGAATGGGTCATGCGAGCACGATACGCCATATTCCAAGCTTAGAAGATTTCAATGTTTACGATCTAGAAGCTCCGGCGTCCCCCAGTGTGAAGTTCAAGGTCGACCTACAGAGCTTTATTGCAAGTATTCCGATTTCTAGTCATGTGAAATGGCCTGCCGAATTCAGAGAGGAAAACAAGACAGCTGCGTTTTCTTTAGTGCTCCAGAACATATGGCTCGTGATCGATAAGCTATTGATAGTCCTTCAGGGCTGAGCGA